GGTGCCCGGTCTGCATCCGCGCCTCCGCGCGCGCCCCTGGCGCCTCCCACCGGACCGCGCGGCGCGGCGTTCCGCGGGTGAGGACAATCCCACTGCCCATGGCCAAGCTCGCTGCAGTTCCAGCACTCGCGCGCACGCCACCCCGCCGGCGGCGGCCTCCTCGCGTCCGCTCTGCCACGTGCATCGCTGGGCCGCGCCGCGCCTCGCGCCATCCCGCGACCCCCGGCCGGATGCACATCCCCAACCCGCTCGTCGGCATTCACACCTCCCGCCAATCGGTCCCCCGAGCCGCGCCGGTCGCCGCCCCGCTTGGTTGCGCGCGCTTGCAGCGCCCAATCTCCAATCGCTTGCAAGAGATCCTCCCTCACATCCCCAGTCCCGCGCTTTTCATGGCCGGTATCCAACACCCCCACGTCGCGGGCAGCATTTTCCTTACGCAAGGCTATTCGCGAAGCATCTTCCAAGCTTTTATATCCAACGAACCGAACGGCCTCTCGCAGATCAGTGCGCAGACCCCCAACCCACGCCCTATACCACATGCTCTCGGTCGCTTCGGCCGATCGAGACACCAATTCACGGAACCGGCCAAGGTACTCCTTGACCGATTCTTTCCCACCTTGCCGGAGACTCTTCAGAGAGGCACTGATTCGCTCCTCTAAGTCGTCCTCAGCGAACCGCTCGATGAACTTTTCCTGCACCTCCTCCCATTCCCGCTCTCCGTCCTGCATCCATCGAGCTAAAGACCGCGCCCATCGCGCGGCCTCTCCTTCCACGCAAACTGTCAGCAACGCAATCCGCTGCGCGTCTTCGAAGATGGCGGACGCAACACATACTCCCTCAAAGTGGAGCATCCACCCTTCGGCATCTTCACCTCCCACCTCCCCAGAAAATGGGCGGGGACGGATCTTCATGGCGCCCTCCTTCGGCGCTCCCCGGCGTGCCGCGTGCTCTCACTCCGCTTCCGCGCCCGTCCCGGCGATGGAACCAAAAACTGTCGGCCTTTGGGCGGCTCAGCTGCGCAATGAGCCTTTGGGCTGCGGCGACCCCGTGGGTACGGGAGGCATTCACGACGGCCACGCGCGGGGAAGACAAGTCTGTCACTCACGATCCGAACCCATCATTACAAACGAAGCGAGTGGTATTTATAGTGCGATGGTGTGACAGGTCATGAGTTGTTGTCTCCAGAATAACCACTCTGGCCACTTTCGCGAGCTGGCCGGGTTCGTGTCCATTTCTCATGCCAAGTTTCTATTCCCGCCGCCCAGACCAACTATGATCCATTGCCAACTAGCCCAGCAGCTACCCGCATACACTACCCACTCCCACTCTCCCTCACTCCCACACTTCCTCAGCTCCTATTCCCGCCGCCATCCCCAACTATGATCCAATCCCAAAGCCGTCCCCGTTCATTCACTACAGCCAATTCCCCTTAACTGGCTCCCCTTTCATACGTACAACCCCACTCCCCACAGCTGCCACAATGGGTACATCTGCATTATCGTGATGCGCATGGTCGGCTGGGGAGGACATTGTCGAGCTGTGCTCGTCTTTGTTCTCCTCGCATGCCGGTGTTGCACCCTTGGGCTCTCTATTGGGTGTCCATTAACAACACAAAACACGTGAATAACGAAAACAGGCCTCCATTAAATTGGTGCACCGTCACCCAACGGGTCATCAACATAATGTCCGAGTGTTCCCTGAAGATCAGCAAAGTACAGTACCATATATGGAGCTTATCCCAAGCTCCACTGCCATGCCCTCGTTTCTTGGCCTGTTGCACAGCATGTGGCTGCCTGCACGAACACAAGATTCCACAGACAACACACACACACACCCACCCAAGGTCTCCAGCAAGGTCTCGTGCGTGTCACTAGAGGCCAATCGGCGAATTTGAGGACAACTTCAGCATGAGAAAAGCATGTCGCTTTGGTGAATTTGCATTGCTGTAAGCCATTGAAATAATGCGAAGATGCACGCACACAACTTCATGGATTGGCACAACGGTTTCAGTTGATAAATGTCAATTATTAACTGATGTTTCTTGTTGATACACGGGAGCCGATTTTCCCCTGTGGCAATGGCAGCCGTGATGACAGCATTCTCACCCCTTGCAACAGCTGGGGAAGATAAGACTGCGAAGCAGATTGTTTGGAGGGGGAATCTGCCGGCCAATTCACAACGCAATGTTCGAACGGCGAATGGCGATGAACCCCCTTGACGACCACGATATGGATGCATATTCACAAGCAGTTGGAATCACTGAACTAGCTGAATACTATTAAATTCCAGCCGTCGCATTGCACACGCACAAACACCTCCTGCCACCACATTCTTGGCAACCCTACACACGCAGAGGAAATTGAGTTTGAGTTTTGCTGGGCAACAGCAGTTGCGCACAGCGTTCGCGTTGGTTCCCCATTCTTGCGTTCTTGCGTTCTTGTCCACAAAGGACACTCGACTTTACGGCGCCCCACCATGAGTCCAACAGCATTATCATTGCCCGCTCATATCCCAGAAATATCAAACTCCGTTCGCACGCTAGGAAGATCAAACCACGCTCAAACACAACGGCCGACACGGGGCTCCTTGCAGGCAGTGACGCTCCTTTCACCTTGGGCGATGTGGGTTACACTCCAGCTCTGAATTCAAACCGTCCACACTATGGACAATGGTCTCAAATCGCGTGCATTCTGTTAACTTCCAATTCCTCCTTTTAATTGCCTAGAATATGAGGACACAATCATATCCTTGCTATGGCCCAGGACGATCCTGGCAATCTGGCCGCCGGCCAAGTCTCAGCGGCGGGCTTTGGCAGGAGCAGACAATTCTCTCTCAGGCAACATTCTCACTTTCTCACCCTCTCCCAAAAGATCGTCCTTTCTCATTTTCTGCTTCTTTCCTTCCAGGGGGTCCTTGATGGCCAAGATGAAGAATCCGTCAAGAAAGAGAAACGCGGCAAATAGAACCATGGCAAACGCATAGCTGTGCGTACTGTCAACAGTCTGCCCGACGATTATGGGGGCAAGAAGGCCTCCAATATTGCCAAAGGAGTTGAACACAGCCAAACTCATTGCCTTGCCTGCTGGAGAAGTTATAGACACAACAAGGGAAACACCAACTCCGCCTGATCCCCTTGTCCCAGCCACACCTGCTATTAGTGCAACAAAACCCCAAACGAATCCTGCACGAGCTAACACAGGCAACAGGGCAAACAGGGGGCCAGCGATCCAGAGAAGAACAGCCACGTGGTATCTCCTCTCTCCCGTCATCTGTGAATGCCAGGAGATCAGGAGAGATGAAACTGCAGACACAGCAAAAGGGATGGCAGCTAGCAGCGCGATGTGCGCACTGCTCTTGCCACCAGCCTCTCCTTCCGATGCTGAGCAGGTTTCCGAACTGGGATCTATGCTTATGCTGTTCCGCAGAAGCATGGTCTCAATCAACAGGGGAGTGTAAAAGACGAAGGTGTAGGCACTCATGTCTGCAAGAAATTTCACCAAGGTAATTATCCAAAGCTGGCCATTGGTCAGACTGTCCTTCAGCTGCAGCCACACTGTCACTTTGCCCCCACTCAGCCCCTTGCTTAGTCTACTCTTTCTGACTTCACGGGAGAGCCAGTCCCTTTCCTTGCGCGTCAGAAACTGCGCTACCTTCGGTGACCGTGGCAGCGTGAGGTACACAAACACACCCAGGGCGATGGGGGGCAGGCCCTCCAAGAAAAAGAGCCACTGCCATCCCTCCAAGCCAAGAAAGCCATGAAGGGACAGAAGAGCGGATCCGATCGGCGCAGACAAAACTTGAGAGAGCACGACGGCAACCTCGAGGAAGGCCAGCTGGACAGTCAGTCTGTGCTCCGGAAAGAAGAGCGACATATAGTACCACACGCCAGGGAAGGTCCCCGCTTCAGCTATCCCAAGCAGGAGTCGAACGAGGTAGAATGCCTTCGGGCTCGTGACGAAGGCCATTGCCGAAGCTGCCATATGGCATGCCCCAGGTGATCATGATCGTGCACATCCACAGGGGCGTCCCCACCCTCTCGAGAATCAGGTTGCTGGGTATCTGGAACACGGAGTATCCCACGAAAAACAGCGATACGCCAGTGCCATACTGAGAATTCGTGATGCCGAGATGTCTACAGAAGTCGTCGGCCCCCAGGCCCAGGTTCGTCCTGTCAACGTAACAGACGAACGCCACAAGGCAGCACGGGATCACGACTCTCCTGGACACCCTCCTGAACAGCGCGTCGGCTTGCTTGGGCCCCGGATCGCTCGGATCGGACTTTGTCACCCCATCATTAGGCCAGCCCTCGCCGGAAACGACGTCATCACAATCCGGCGTCGAGTCGAGCGGCTCCTCTTGTCGTTCGGGCTCCGTGGGCAGGGCCGCGTGGGAAGCTTCTATGTCGAAAGGCGCAACTCCTGAAGAACCGCAGAGAACGCATCAACTCATCGACCGCAACACGTGCCGTTGCTGGCACGCCGTATCCCAGTTGACGTGCCGCACCAGGTTGCAACGGGATGCCCGGCACACGCCATGCCGTCCCTCAAAATGGGCGCCGCGGCCGGCGATTTGTACATGCACAAAAGCAGGCGCTGTGATCGGGGCTGGAGGGCACTTAAACTGGCACTGCGACCAAGCCGGGCGCGACCTGGGACTTTCTCACCGGGCCGAGGCATTGGCGCCGGTTTGCCGTCCTCAGGACCACAAGGCCTTCGCTACGTTCCTCCCTGGGCAAGCACGTGCACTGGCCTTGCCGCGTAGCCGTCGCCAGCCTTCCTCGTGACGAGTGGCTGTATGGCGAGCGTCACTCTTCAGCGTCAGCAAGTTTCCCTGGGACAGAGAACCTGGGGGCGCACTGTGCATGTGACGCGCACGGCGGCGTGACGTCATGACAGACGATCCTCAGCGGATTCAGTCAAGAGCAGAGTACATGTGCTGTACAGTAGGAGTCCCTATACAGCGGCCCCCCGTGACATGGCCAAAAGTGGGGCCGGGGGCCCTATTCTGTGGGGTTACCGTAAGGGGTTACCGTAAACAGCGGCTGTAACGAGTACTACGGACGCCCGTGTAGAGAGTAACCTACGCTGCCAGTGCAGGGGGTACCATGACCGCCGGTGTAGGGGGTACGCTACACCCGGCCTGCGGGCCCGTACTGGCTTTTGGTGCCTTCGAATCGGTTGCAGTGCCGAAGTCGCGGGCCCTGGGGCCTGTCACAGTGAAATAAAGTGCTACGGGAACGGTGACAAGCCGTTCAGGTGATGTCTAAACCTACACAGGTCGCTACCGTACTAGTTTGAGGTGCCACTGCGCAACAAAGCCGCATAAAGTACTACAAAAATGGCGACAAGCGAAAAAAGGGGGCGCTATTGGGGGAGCGCGATACAGGGCCCCTTGCTGTACTGTTGGTTTTTAAAACCTTCCGCATACCAACGTAACGCTTGGCCTTATTTTGCAGAGAAAACAATAAAATAGATAGCGCTCCTTTAATAAAACTTGCGCGGAGCCACGTAATAATAAAATATAATAACGCTCTGAAAAACAAATGCGGAGCTAAATGCGTAAAAAATTTTCATGCGGAAGGGTCGAATATACTACAGCATCACCGCTGGGGTAGAATGTGCGTCTTCGCAGTACCAAGATCAATCAATCAGTTTATGCAGTGTCAGCACGATGATGGCCTGGTTGGGCGGACGGATCACCGGCAACGCCATTCTCCCATCCAGAACAGGTGCAGCAAGAATACCCAGGCACAGAGCCCAGACCGATAGGGAACAATCAATCGCGGATTCTGTGCCGTCAATTGATTCCAGTGTTACTCATGCATGGCGTGCACATATGCGTGCGGTGCTTTTCTCCAAGTACCCACCAGCCCCCAATGTCAGGAGCGGCGTGCAATCTGGTTTAAACGAGGCCAAATTGTGCAAACCCAGCCTGCGCTTGGCAATCGAAGCGCTTGGCTGATGTGGGGTACTCGCGCTGTTGCACATGTGCATGCTGCCACCACGTAAAAAATTCGTTCGATGGGTGGTTTGAATGTATCGAAGATTCACCAGAAATCAAAAGCATTGAAGGTGGACCTGGCCATTCATGAAATGCGGCCCAAGGCCAAATCTGTTATTAGTTCTAGTTGCATGAGCGGTGAGGGCTGGTTCCTTACGTGGCATGGATGGCAACAAGGTCAATATGGCCCATGGAGTGGTGAACGTCTGCAACTAGACGATGTCCTTCTGTCCACAGCCTTTATACCAATTATGAAGGACAAGCTGTGATCTTCAGCACGGGCGTGAGAAAGACTGTCACAGTCAGAGTGAGTGGCTCGCACCTACACCACATCCGGCAATGCGCGTGATAGGAGTGCCCACCCTGACCACATGGTGTGCCTCTCCTGGCCCACGCACTGGCGTGTGCTCACGCCTGACCTGGACTGGGCGCCTGTTACCCCACCAAGATGGGTACAAAAGGCGCAAAGAGAGCTTACCATGCTTCGGCCAAGTGGCCTTGCGAGCACAGGTTCTGCAGTTTGGGTCCGTGAAATTGTTCCTCTCCTTGCCCCGTCGCTGGGATCACTGTCAGCAAGAATCTTTAAAGAAATACGGAGTTTTGCAACAACAGCTTGCCAACAGGCGCTGGCCCTCTGACATCTAGCGGATGGCTAACACATGCTGCCATCTGTCCACCTTTGGGCTTGAGCACCGGGCATGCATCCTGGCGACCCATCTGTCCGGCATCGAAACACAGACAACTGCACACAGCTTGTTGACGACATTTTCGAACCGATCTCAGGATTCCAATGTTCTTAAAATGGCACTTAAAGATACTTCCGCAGGCTTGCTCATTCTCAGCCCCAAAGACGCAGGTCTCGGCCCTGGACTGGCTCGAAATTCCCCTCCTAGGCATCAACATCACTCGGGCAACTTTCAGTTCTGGCACAATACTTTGAAAGGCATGCACAGCTATAATACGAGCCGCAGGCCTTCTGAATAATCTACATGAAGTTCGAAAGAAAAGTCCAATGTGTAAAAATTGCCACAAGCCCATACCCCTCCTGATCCCTGCTACTATCCACTCTTGTCGACATTCGCCTTTCCGTTGGCAGCTACTGTACTGTGCTTGCTTGGTGGTGCTGTTTGCCATGCATACGCACGTCTCGATGCAGTGCATCTTTAGGTGGGTTGTATGGCTTTTCCATCAGCCCAAGCACTTGGAACATTACGTCGTCCTCACTCTTGTCGTTATTAGGAGTGGTGAGGAGCTGGTCGCCTGAAAAGATGCTGTTGGCCCCAGCCATGAAGCACATCCCCTGATCGGCGAGGGACAGTTTTAAACGCCCTGCTGCAAGCCTCACCATCGACCGCGGCATGACGATTCTCGCAGTAGCTATGCACCTGAGATGAACACAAAGGCACAGGTCAGCTAGGCAGAAGTCTTGCCACAAAACACATGGATTTCACCACCAGAATGCACAATAAAAGCGTCAAGCATGGTGCTCAGCAATTGTATCAATGCACAATTCTTGGTCTGTAGATACAGCGCCAGCCTGCTGCCTGCCATTGCAGCACTCAGACCCATGACAAGCGAGTCAGCCAGGGGCCAAACCCAAGTAGAAAATAGTCCTGCAGGAACTTGGAACGTTTGCATCGACAGCACTGGCCCATGGCTGCACACTCTTTTTTCAGCTGAAGTTTGGGAGGTCTTCAAGGCAATTGCAAGCACCTGACTAAATCCAATGAATCCACCAGCTTCTCGTCCTGCATTGGTGTCCCCTTGATGGCCACAAGCCTGTTTATGGGAACAGAGTCTGGATGCACTGGAAGCGAGGCCAGTTGGTGTAGCAGGCCGACACGGTCATGGATCCCCTCCCCTAGGCCAATGATGCCACCAGCACACATGCCAATGCCTGCTTCGCGCACAGCCTCAAGTGTATTCAGCCGATCCTGGATGAACACAGCTACATTAGCTGTCTGCATTTGCAGCCTCCGCCAACGGGATGACCAAAAATTCTTCTGCCAATTGAAGCAAGCTTTCATCCATGCACCAAGCAATGCATCAAAGTGCATTTCTGCTCCTTTCCACTTGGAGAGGATGATATGAACCACAACAACAAAAGTTGGTCGAATTCCTAAAATGAACAGCTGAAACAAGATTTTCACGAGCATCTTGCAGTTTTCATGTCCAAGAACTCAATGTTGCAACTAAGATGCACCGAAAAACTTACAAGTGCATCCAGACAACTGCAACCACAACTCTATTCTTCACAGGGCTTCAGAATACAAGCCATAAGTTGCCAAACAGGACAGTTTTTAAATAGCCATTGTTCAAAGAGGTTATTCCAGTGTTTCGGCAACAGGCAAAACGCCAATCTACCAAAATTATCGAATGGTCTGAAAGCACGCATAAAGCACAGCCTGCAGCTCACCTCATATTTCCTCGTTGTCGTGATTTTGCTGTAATACTCTGGGCTTGTATCCAGATTGTGGTTGTATGCAGTTAACCCAGCCTCCTTGAGCTGCCTTGCTTGTTCTGGAGTCACCATCCCCAGGGTAGTGCACACTTCCATGCCCATGGCTTTCACCTCCTTCACCATTTTCAGCACTCGCTCCCATTGTCTTGGGCCCACCTGTGAGGGGCCCCTCCAGGCAGCGCCCATGCAGAATCGAGTGCTTCCTGCCGCCTTAGCCCGTTGGGCGGCCTACAGCAGGCGTTTAATGGAAGACATTCAGAAAAGTGCGGGCTTGAAATGAATCTGCACCTGTTGTGCATCAGCACATGTGAAGGATGTAGGGAACATGGAGGATGAGGCATATGTGGAGCAAGTGGGGCCGCTGTGCAGAAGAGATAAGCCCCAATGAGCAGGTTCTATATTCAGCTCCACACAATGGCAGATCTTACATACGAGTGCCCATGATCTGAGATAGCAAATAATGCACCTGGCCTGGACGGCCCTTACTCCAATGCAAGTTATCTGGATTTCAGGTGTTTTCAATGCACACACAATCCCCTTTATTTCTTTTTGTTTCGATTCACAACATTGGGGTACCCAGTGCACTGCAAACGAGAAAAAGGCTCGTGTACAGCTGTGCTTTAGGAGCATTCACTTCCGTGATTGGAGCGTCTAGATCGTATTCACGACACAACGTACACTCCCCAGCTGCTGGACTGAAGTGATTGTGACAAAATATCTGACGCCCACCCCTGGGTTGCTTGGATGCAGCAGGAACACAATTATCTTTCCCTCCCGCGTTGAATGCCTGCACATAAATCCATCTGATTAGGGTTCCCACTGGAAACAGATACCATCGCCTACCTCAAGCACCGAGTCAAGATCCATGAGTTTTTCAGCTTTCATATCGACGTCCTTGCTCCATTTTGAGCTCTGTGAGCAGTATTTGCAGTCTTCTGGACACCCACCCGACTTGATATTCAACAGTGTGCACCGCTGCACCTGCCACAGTGCCAAACAGGACCACCTTACATTCTCTGACAGGCTGCCTGAACACAACTGTCCCATGAAAATGCCTACATCAAGGACATTCTGACAATCATATCACACTGAATGTACCAGCAGCTGTGCAAGGACACAGCTGCACATGGAAATCTGCTATGATTGCATTTGTTGTTACGACATCAAGCACTGCATTGGCACCAACAAGTTGCTGCCATGTGTGCCACACGATGCTGAACATTGTCACCCTGCCTTCAGAAACTTCTGCATCACCTATGGAACAGAATTTCGCTGACCTTCATTCAGGAGGGAATGCAGAGTGCAAGACACATCTATCATCTTGTCTTTTACAATAGTGCCTCCTCACAAGGCACTACAGGTACTGTTCCCCCTTCCCTCCATCCACCGAACCACCCAAAACGAAGTTTGTGCACCACACAGAAGTTCGTCCATTTTGTTAAAAAATTGCCTTCGAAACCGACCACACCCAGCATTAGGCAATAGCTATTGGAGAGCAAAGTCCTGTCTTGGTGCTCACCATTCTGGGGTCGTGGTACATCCTGTGCACGGTTTGGGCTTTGAAGACCAACTCCAGGAGGGGACTTGCAAACACCTCCCCCACCTCCTCCCGCCTGTGCAGACGCACCATCGACGCCATCACAATGCCATTATCTCGATCCAGTCGCGCAGGCCGCGCGCTGCGCATCCACGCCATGTGATGGCGAGGGCGAGACTCCGCACAACAGTTAGTTCGCCACAGTTCCTTTCGTCCATTCGCAGATCCTTTGACAGTAATCATTTGCAGAAAGCAACTCTCAATCACAGATGTCTCCATCGCAGCGCACCCAGCAAGGGGCGATCAGCGCGACGCATGGCCCGCAGAAAGGTCCATCAGCCCCAGGGGCCATCAGGTGAGGGGGAGGGCCAATCAACGCGCCAGCCAATGTCGAAAACTCAAAGCATTCACGCTTTCCAGAGATCCTGGAATTCGACACCGCAGGCGACACTCACGTCCAGTCGCTGCGCACGTCGCCGAGGGCATCAACCCAACGCGGGCGGGCGTGCCCGTTGTCCCTGCCTGCCCTCCGATCCTCCACCTCGGGCACCGCGCAGGGCTGCGCGGCGAGGGCCCTCCCGCACTGCCGGTGCCACTCCGGGCGGCTTGCGACGCCGGCAAGCCTGCCGAGGAGCAGGCGCGCCGCCATGGCTGCCTCGAGGGCCACAGTGCCAACACCCGGGGCCGCAGTGCAAGCAGCCGAAACGACAGAAACCGACAATGTGATCAATGAGAGCAAAAGACCAACCATAAGTTCACCACTGAATATAGAGCGCTATATAACAACATATACTAATCTATTTTTACATTTACTAAAACATATACTAATTCATTTATCATATGCTACCTTCCTGTTGAGTTCACTCCAATTATGTCGCTTTATCTGGCTTGCAAATTTGTTTTTTCACGCACAGAAAACCAGTGACGACATCGGTGGGCCACGTCAGCAAACGGCCAGCAAACGGCGCCAACGGTTTGAATCTGGAGCTTCCCTTTTTCCCGCGCGCAGGTTTTGGTGGGGAGCAGCGCCGGGGTACGCGGAGCGGCGCCCGAGAGTGGCGGCCAGCGGGGTTTGCCCTGCGCTGCCGGGCGGCGGGCACCCCCGCGCCGATGAGGGGAGGATGGGATCGAGCCAGGATGCGAAGTGCCCCGATGCGGCGGACGTCTGGGTGGAGGCGTCCAGCAAGATCAGGGTGGGTGGAAGGGGGCCGAAGACAATTCTATGCTTGTGCGTATGTTGTGGTCACATGCTGTAAGGGCAAGGGGTTGCAGCAGCACACATGGTCCATGGCCGCATGTCCCTTTATGCTGGACTGTTTGAGTCTTTCGGCCCTTTGTCCCTCCTGTTGATATGGCAACTTGGAATGGCTCCAATCGATGGTCCATGGGGCACGTGCGTCACTCCGGTGGCTCGCTGTGTGGGCAGGTGAGAGGATCCAGGTACACACAGGGGAAGATCGACCAGCTGTCGAAGGAGTACTGCAAGCTGAAGGTCGACGAATTGGGGTACGGTCTTGGCCCAAGCAGTGGTGCTCGTCGTGGCAGTCGCAGCGCATCGCGCGACTTTTACGCGATCCTAAAGGACGCGAATTCATGCTTCTCGATCTGGTCGGCACCGTCTGGCCATCCCCAACTGACACGGAGCGCACTGGGTTGTGCGCCCAATTGAATCAGCCGAAGACTGCCTTTCGAGCAGAGAGGAGGCCGTATAATGCAAGGGTGGCTGAGCAAGACCCTGCGAGAATGTTTTCCATACTGTAGAAAGTAGAATATCAAGCCGAAGTCCTCGAGTATAAAACTAACAGCTTGCAGCACAGAGTGTCAGTGGCCCTGATCAGCGGATCGGTCGTGTGTAGGTACGTGCCTGTGAGACGGGAGGCGCGCAAGTGCGTCTTCGGCGTTTTGGGCCGCAAGAGGAACCGTAAGGTGGCGGGGAGTGGGGAGGCCTGCCAGGTGTGGACCCTGAGCAACTTGGAGCAGGCCGACGTCGAGATGCTGGTGTTTGGCAAGGCCTACGATGAGTGCCAGGAATGCCAGCTGGGGTTGCTGCTGGTGGTCTTCGATCCATTCATACAATTAGACAAGTTTGGGAAGAGGTACATGACTGCAGAGCTGAGCGGCCAGATAAGGGACATCGGAATCGCAGTTGACTATGGCTTGTGCACCTTTGTTGACCAGGTAAGCGCCCAGCCCTGGCATTTTCATATTGATCATGCTGGACAACGGCCACTCGTGTTTTGTGTACCTGAATGGCGGCCTGATCGAGTTTCTGTGATCACCATGTGCATCCACCCTGATGCAAAATGGTCTGCTTTCTGTCTAGGGAAAGAGCTGCAAACAGATTGTGAACAAGAGCGCATTCACGCTGTGTCCGAAACACGCACAGGTGAGAGGGGAACGTCTTCCGTGTGTTCAGTTGCCTTTGTGGTTGTCCATGGTTGGTGGAATGTAGTGACACATGGTCCCAAAGGCTGCAACATGGGCTTGGCCCACGAGCAGAATGCCGATGCCTGCACAGGCCATATTGCCTGACAGCCTGAAGGATTGCAGAGCACAGCGGTTTTGATTCGCTGCCAAAGTGCCCACCATCTGCCACCCTCTCCATGCACCAAAACTTATGAAGTGTTGGTGGGCGAGGAGGGTTTCTGCCTCATCACTTTGTAATGATATCTTTTCCCTCTCCATGCACAGAACTGAAGTTTCAACTTGTGCTTTATTGTAACCATATCGCTGCTGTCACTCTGTTTGCAGGCTGGGTACAACCGAATACTAAAAAGAGCCAACAGTCGATCAGACATCGGAGGCATCCAAGCAAGGCATAAACTCTTCTTCAATTACTACGACAGAAGTAAGTTCAATGTAACAGAGCAGCCTGCAGAGGCCATCCTTATCAACATGGTCAAGATTTCAGAGTAGAATGGTGCACGCCAGGTGCTGTGTGAAGCTCCCAACTGTCAACCTCCTGGCTATTTTGCTGTCCTTCAGGTAGCCAACTGCACCACTATGTATTGTTTTGAAGCACCCATGTGTTAATTCTCCCTGTAGGAAAGGCACTGAAAGGTGTTGGGACGAAGAATCCAAATGCAGCAGATGTCACAAGAGTCCGCACTCTTCCTCTGGCCAATGAGGAAGAGCTTGTGGCAGAGGCCCAACGGTTGCCCAAAAGCTCGCAGGGAAAGAGGATGCTCATGGGCATTGTGGACAAAATGGGGGGAAAGAGAACAGTAGAGAGGGTGAGGCAATCAGAAGATATCGCCTATGACCTGCACCTGCGCTCTGCAAGAGACACGGGGCTGATGGAAGCAGGTACACAGAAGCGGAGTGTTAGCGAGGGAGCCTCTACTCCGGTGAGCTGGTTTGAAGTGTATGGCCTTGGGACAATGGTTGTCCAACAGGTTTCCTGTGCAACTGAACAAGGGTGCAGAACAAGCACATTAGTCCATCACCCAGGTGATCATGTTCCATTCAGAGAGTGATATTCATGTCAATGCAAAAGATGATATCCTATTGGTGGGGACAGGATTGGAATGCTGGCTTTCAGTGGATAAAGTTTGCCTGTTGTGTCAGATTTCCTGTCTTTACTGTAGCTACAGCAGGCACCTGAGAACACGTGTCGGTGCATGTGCAGGTGTCAAAGATTCGAAGGGTTTGTGGGGAGAAATGCAAAGGAAAGGTGAGGTGATCAGCACATACTGGTACTGTACTGAAAGATGAGGTCAAGGCCAATGGGCAAAAACTGCAATTTCCGTGAATGCATGGGATCTCAGTGGCCCACAGCCCTCATGCCGCATACTTCCAGAATTTTTTTTTGTTGTTGCACTTAAATTGGCATTAGGTAACAGCTTGAATGGCATATATCCAGGCTGGTCCATTGCCCCCTTGGCCTACAACCACCAGCGACCTATTCCAATCTGGACCACCAGCTGAAGACAGTGTCTGGTCTTGCTTGTGTGCTGTCATGCGTTCAGCAACTGAGCCTGTTTTTTCTTTGATCCCGGCACAGGTCCCACATGGTGCAGACAGCAACAACACAGGCACTGTTCAATTTAAACTATCAGAAGCTGGCAAATGCTGCAACAGTGGGTGCATGAGCACTCCTGCTAAAAATTCCACAGCAAAGGCCGAAGGTGAAAGGTGAGCTTTGCCTCAGGCTGTGGCTGTATGATTGTCTTCTTATGCCCAAATCTCCAAGGCCCATATTCCCTACAACATAACAAGTCTGCCCTAGCAGATGCCAGGCGATCCATGTCACGCTCAGGAAGATTAGTTCTGTTACTTGTTTCATATTTTATTGTCATTTCCCTTCATTGTGCATTTCTGTATTGCCTGTGTACCTTCACCTCTGTGAGTGGTTGTCATCCATTACACAGCCACAATCCTGGTTTTGTTGTGAACCAAAACACCATTGGGAGTAGTGGCAGTGCTGCCCATCTGTACACTTGTGCACATCCTTCAGAAACCTCATGTCTATTTTTCTGGTCTGGGGTACAGGTTCATTGAACTCCTGTCTCCCCCACCGGATGTGGACGATGTGGAGTACTGGAAAATGTGGAGTCCGCCATCGTGGTTCAAGCCATGTGGAAGACTCAAGCAGATGCCGTGCACACCCCCCAAGTTCAACATCGACGGGGCAATCGTGAGGGAGTGAAACCTTCCATCTTGCTAGATTAGATGTGCTAAAACGCACTCTCCACTAATGGAATGTAGGACATCACGAATCTGTGTCTGCATTGTCGCAAGGGAAGTGTGGGGGTGTACATTGTGAAGATTTGTAGCCATAGGAAGGAGATTTCAACAGATGGATGGAAACAGCTCACCATAAGCTCATGCTAAAGACAGCATGCTGGCTGCAAGCATTCAGTTCAGATTCTCAATTCGTTTGGGCTGCACACGACTTGTAAAACGTATTGTGGACATGCCTTCCACATGCAAGAGACTGTGTGCCAAACAACGGATTACATCATCGAACAAGAAGAGGGACAGGACACAGCTGATTGTTCCCAAGAACACCAAAACCTGCCATTCTCTCCAACTCACAATCATGCCACAATTCAAGCTGATTTTCCTGTGGTGCATACCAAGCAAATGAATCTCTAGGACTGTGGCCCACAGTCCTATGAATTTTCAACTGCCGACAGGGCTTCCTTCATTGCTTTAAGTCGCTCCCTGAGTCCGCCACCATTCCCATCCCCGTTTTGTTTCGTTTTCCTGACTGCTGGGTGGGCATCTTTGCCAGTGTTTCCGACTCCCTGGTCACCTGTGTCAATCAGGGATAGCCCAGTTGCCTGACGAGGCAAATCTGAGTTGTCTCTGCTCAGAACTCTCTCTGCAGTGCGCATTGCCTCCTTGCCGTCAGACAAAGCTGGCGATGTGTCAGACTTCTGCAGCAACTGCACAGTCCTTGCCATGGTTGTTGCTGAGCCAGGACTCAGTGCTGTGTTGTTGGGCACTTGAGCCCCTGGCTTGAAACCTTGACATGCACATCAGGGACGTCACGTTCCATTTGTACTTTCTGTGGCTGTTGTAGCTCTTCCTCTAGGCATGCACTGATTGCAATCTGCACCTTTGGGTGTGATTGCCAAGAAAATTTATGCTGCAGTGATTTGCAGAACTGTGTTACAAGCAGACATCAATCAATCAAGTTTGTTGGTCAGGAAGAAACTCTGTTGCGCCTTGCGTACAGCAGAGGGGTGGAAATTGGGCTCAGTTGGTTAGGAATTGAAGGTGCTTGTCCTCCCGCTGCTATTTGCCACCTGGTTGTGTATGCAATAAAACGATGCCTGCATATTCAAGGTTTCCAGCTGCCGCGTACAGCAACCCACTCACCTTTCAGAAACAAATTCAGGTTGGGCTTCACAGTCGTGTTGGCATACTCTCCAGACACTGACCTCCCGATTCCTGGAATCGTGCTGCTTGTTTGGCTCAGCCCGCCGAGGGCTTTAACAACTTTCAGTTGTGACATCACAGGGCCCCACTTGTTCTTTGTCGAGCTGGCGAGGTACCCACTGAGGTCTGACAACATTTTGTCCATGCCAGGCGGTGTTGGCTTGCGGGAAAGGGCAACATTGAGCGGGGAAGCTGGGGTGTCTGGCACATCCCACAGTGAAGGTGTACCAGTGCTCCCCAGCTGCGTTGTGGGTGTGAATGATCGCACATATCCGCTGCTCAGGCTGTGTGCACAGTCCTCAGTTCGGACCGATGTGGATGGAGAGTCGCCGAAGTTAACCCGATCTTCTTTTGCACCAATGCACAGTGGGGATGTGCTGGTGTATGGGCCATCTGGAATTTGAATTCGAAGTCCTGGCTGCCCACTTTGTTTTCTTGAACTGGCCGCAGCCTTGGGTGCATGGGCTAGCGACGCATACAGCGCCCCAACCACTTGGGACCCTATTTTCATCTTCGCCAATGTGGATCTCAGTGCCTCGCTGCTTTCGGATGTGCTGCTGTCCCGGGCCTTGCTATGCCGATGTCCATGCCTTCCATTATCTGATGTTGACGAAAGCGCACCACCTGTGCTTGGCACTACTGCAACAGCCTCCATTGTGCCCAGAACAAGCCCTTCTGCCATTGTGCTGCTTCTAACCTGGGAATGAGTTTGTCCATGGGTTTGCACTGATGGTGACTCTGTTGTGCGGACTGATGGGCTGCACGTGTCATTGTTTTCCCTTCCCTCTGCATAGCCAGCCTGCTTATCATGATTCAATGCTGCCTGCATGGTTTGAATGGATAGGTCGTCTGAGGGCATAGCTATCCTGCTGGACTCTTCGGGGTGGCATGTTTGTGTGTTCTGTCCTGTGTCGGTCACTGGGGGCCCCTGTGGCTCTGCTGCACTTTCGTCACCCAATTTGGCCATCACTTCGTCAACCTGAACAATTGCCAGGAGTATGTGAGAGGTTCCTGTCACTGGTGCTGCCTGAATACAAGAAACCCACATCCGCACCAACATCCCTTGGTCAGGATAACGGCATGTAAGAAATGGCCCCTGCGAATTAGCCATTAATCCAGTGCATCCATGATGCAGAACACAGCGACTTGTGCGAGGGGGCATGAAATATGACGGT